GTACAAATTTTTTGGACGATGTTGATGTTATGAGCATAGCATGTCCGTGATGGGATTCTTTTTCACACAAAAAAATATGAGAAACGACACGACCCCAAAAGCGATTTTTACATAAAACCGTCCCGAACATGGCAAAACACTATAACAGTTCACCTGTGTTTTTAAGGCTTTTCCTATATATATATATAAATCTTCCCAACACCTATAGATGAAAATAAACAGTGATTTTATCTACTCTCATCACAGTCTAAAGTTCATCGCACAATCACAATTGTCCAATAATGTTTTATTTTTCATTTTTTTTTCTACAAATCGAAATGATTTGAAATTTGAAACGTATGTACATCTTAGTGAAATACACTTAATAAATATATAAAAAAATTAATTCGAAAAAAAAATTGATCAAAATACCTCCAAAACTTTTTAAAGATGTTTCAATTAATTTTTTTCATGTAAAATATCTTTTTAATAATTTTCTTAAATTCGCCTATTTTTTATGATCGCACGCTTTAAATTTTAAATCATTTCAATTTATAGAAAAAAAATAAAAAAATACTATCGAATAATCTTAATCGTACGATGAATTTTGAACGGTGATGAAAATAAACGATATATATATATATATATATATATGATTTCATGCAACAGTTATTAGTAATGAAACGATCATAACAAATCAAATAATGTTAGAACCATTTGTATGAAACCAATTTCTAAATATAACACTTTCATTCTAAAAACAACCACAAAATAAAAAATGTAAAAAAAAAAATGAACGAACACCCAAAGAAAGCATTAGTGTTGTGAGTGTAGGGCAAATATCTCCCTTAAGCAAAGACATGAACCGCTACAAAAGCATATGGTAAAAAGCCCAAAGATAAGTGTAACCAAAAACCAAAACAATAAAAACTGACCAATTATCAACGACTACACAGACAGTCCATCTCTCTCTTGAAACCAATTAGTTAAGGGCCTCACTCTCTTCTCTCCACACCCCGCTTTAAATACATAAAACAAAAAAAATCAAGATTATTAACATATAAACAACCCCAGAAATGACACTGGTTTGGCGAGGGAGGTCACAGTTCGAATTTTGTCCATAAAGCCCTGAGTAGCCTTCTTTTTAAACTACCCAAGGAAAAATGTCCTTGTTTTTATATATAAAGGAAGGGGGGGCAAAGGGATCATTCATTACCCATAGCTTTTACAATCCGGTGCCAGATTTGAAAGTAGCAAGGAAGAAGAGAGCATCCTCCATTTCCTTTTCCTGCCTCTCAGGCCCCCACCCTCGCTCATTGGTCAATAACTCAACGACCCTCGGAAGGGCCCTAATTGCAGCATTTCTATCAAGAAAAGCAAGCCTCGTCCTCCTAGCGATGAAATCGATGGCTGATTCACAGTATTCATTCCTCGCGCAATAAGCCACCTCTGCCTCCATGTAGGGGTGACCATGTGCAAGCCTTTTTCCCAAGCTTTCATTCTGCAATTCATTTACCATCAACTCTATTCATATGGAACTAAAGAAAACAAAAAAGTTGGAAAAGAATAAGAATCAACCTTTTTTCTTTAATGGGTTTATCTCAATTTGGTTGCAATCCTCATGCAAACCAAATTCACTGCAATTCATTTACCATTAACTCTATTCATATGGAACTAAAGAAAACGAAAACTCGGAAAATAATAATAATAGACCTTTTTTTCTTTAATGGGTTATCTCAATTTCGTTGTAATCCTCATGCAACCAAATTCACATTCTCTGAATTCATATGCTACCCAAGGGAAAATCGTCATGAAAGAGAAAAGAAACAAGAAGAAATCAATTCTTTTGATTTCCACTTCAGAGGGATAGCCCAGTTTCCATCTCTGCCTATATTTAGTAGTCGTAGCATGCCCCTCGTAGTATATAGTGTACGAATCTCAAAAAGATAAAAGCACATCATAAAAAAATATAAGAAAAATCTTAAAATTTGAAAGCCAGTAGAATATATTCAGACATTACAAAAAGAACGGGCATGTACAAAAATATAAGACAAATGTCTAATGAAATAATAGGAGATGCTACTATTTCTACCAATCCAATAATTTTTTTAGTCAATGATTTAATATGCACATGTACCTATAAAAACATGTTCTATTTTATTGTCACGAAGTTTTTAAAAAGCAGCAGGCAGTGCCTAGGCAGCCGAGGGGGCTGGACGCCTAGGCACGATGTGGGCACCTCAGTTTTGAGGTGCCCCATCCTTACATATACACATATATGCATGTAAAATAAATTCATGCATTAAAACTTATTACATATAATATGAAATGTAAGTTCAGTAATAATAGGAATAGAAACCAGAAAGTAGTTAAAATTGATGGTCAAAAAATACCTAAAAGTGGTTGTTCCAGATATCTAGGGTCGATAATCTTAGAGAATGGAGAGATTAAGAAAGAGTAGGGTGGGCGAAGTGGAGATGTGCATCCAAAGTTTTATGTGATTGTCACGTACCATTGAGACTGAAGGGGAAGCTCTATAGGATGGCTGGTCTTTATTTCGAATATAGAGGAGTTCTTGTTCCCAACAATCAATGAGAAGATCATAGCCCCACCCGGTCCTCCCCACTGCGCTTACAGCTCTATTCCCCAACCCAACTTTCTCTGGCCTCAGGTCCTCCCTTTTGATTGCCGCGTACCATTGAGATTGAAGGGGAAGCTCTATAGGATGGTTATAACACCAGCCATGCTTTATGGGACAGAATATTGGGCAGTCAAGAAACAACATATCTATAAGATGAGTGTAGCTGAGATGAGAATATTGAAATGGATGAGTGTAGCTGAGATGAGAATATAGAATTCAGAATGAATATATACGAGGGAACTTAGGAGTGACTTCAATAAGCAATAAGATGAGGGAAAGTAGACTTAGGTGGGTTAGCCATTGCAGTAGAGCCCTAATACAACACTGATTAGAAAGCGCGAACTGGTTCAAGTAGAAGTCACTAAAAGGGCAAGAAGAAGACCCACAAAGACATGGATAGAACTCCAAAAGTAGTGAGAAAAGATATGGTAACTTGTGGTCTTACTGAGGGCATGTCCCTTGATACAAAAAAATGAAGGAACAAGATTTATGTAGCCGACCCAAAACAATTGGGATAGGGCTTGGACGATGATGATGACATATAATGCATGTAATAACGCGTATAATAAATTAATAACATATAATGCATGTAAAAATATATATAAAGTATATGTATATGTATAATTAACCCATAGTTATTGGGATCGAGAGCCGGGGATCGTGAAATGCTAGAAGATCCCTATGGTTGGAAGCCTTGTCCTTACAATGCATATCTTCCTTACAATGCATATCTTGGGAATTAAGATCCCAAATTACGGAACTTGGTACCTTTTGAGGATCTTTCTCCCAACCTTAAAGAGTGTATATAGTCTATGGCTATATACACTCAAAATAAGAATATTTTTATTTATAGCTAGCAAGCAATACAACTACATTAAGTATAGTTGCATTGCTAGTTGGCTATAAATAAAGAAAATCATCAGTTTGATTGTTATTTTGGTCTTTAATGAAGGGGATCAAGATCCCTAATATCAAGGATTGATATCAACAAAAATTTAAAAATCAATAACCCTAAAAGATCCCTTTCCTGAAGCTCCTGAGCAGGATTGCCGCCTAGATTGGGCAACTATGATTTAACCAAAGATGACCTCTATATGTATAATTGAACCAAAGATAACTCACCTTTATTCCCCCGATCTCCAATCTTTGATGTTTTAAACGAACATAGAACTTTAAATCACCGATTGTGACCTCTCATGATGCATCAAAATGAATCAAATCCAAAAGGTTTGAAATTTAAATGCCCTATTAAAGTTCTTGGCTTTTATTTTTTCAATCATAAAAAAGTTCATACATACGCAGATAGATATATAAATAAAACCGCCAAGGAGGGTGCTTTTACATCATCTCCCTTCTTTTACTTTTGTTGGTAAAACAATAAAAGTTTAGTACCAAGTCCGACTTGGACTAGACCGACTTACTCAGTCACAATAGCCTGACGAATCAAAAAGCCCCCCAACTCATTGGAGAGGCCTTATTGTAGACCTACTCGCCTGAGTTGCAACAGGAACTCAAGCAAGTTTAAGTCAGACTTGAGCGGGCCCTCAAGAACATGCCAAGCCTGATGCTTTTATGATATGAAGAGGGGGTGCAGGAAATTTCCCTCCCTTTGCTTGCTTATTCTTCATTGATCTTGCTCGAACAACAGAATTGGGGAATTTTGTTTCAAATCTGGGTTTGGCTAGAATATTTTTTTTTCTTGCTTTTTATTTTTTTTTGGAGAATGTTCACATTTGTTGAATAAATTGGTGCGAAAGAAATTTGGGTGAAAGAATGTTCACATTTTTTTCATTTTATATATAGTTTTTGTAATTTTATGATTTTCCTTATTCTTTATTTTCTGTTTTTTGGAATTTTCTAACCAAATTTTCTAGGACTCAGGAAGGACGCAGTGGATGCAATCAGGACTTGCTGAGCTGACAGGCACTTTCTAAATCCCAATGCTGAGTGTTGGTTTTAGAACACTGGTACAAGGTTGACCATTATTTTAACAGGTCCATAGAAACCCACTGTCTAAATGTTGCACACATATTGATAGTCTTTTGTCTTTGGAAAGCATACTATTATCCAATGAATGATTAAAAGTCCCATTGGGGTAACTGTAGCTTCTTTCACGAAGGTAAAAAGGGTGGAGGGTTCAGTGGCAGGATTGAGTGCAACGGTTTAGCTCTCTTCGTCAAGGGGTGTTAATGAACTCCGACAGAAAGAGTATCAGCAGTGACCGGCTGGCTTTCAAGGCTTAGGATCTTCATCAATAATCTTAAAGAACTATTAAACATAACAACTAAATGATGGAAAGTGATGAACAGAGTAGAGAACCCACTCACCTGCTGTTCTAGTGGGTTATTTCATTGGACGGTGCTTTGGTTTCCATTGCATTATAGGTTCTTTCTACAGTAATACCTCTCAAAAACAAATCATTCATAATAGATATCCTCTCAAATCAAATACAAATCCATCCAGCAATTGTTGGCTCCTATATATAAAAGCAATAACTTCTCAAATGTCATAATCGATACTAAAAAACATATCTGTTCTCTTGTACGGTACTACGGTCTATTGAATCTGTTATGAGAGGGGAATTCTCGAAATATATATCATATTTAAAGGAGACAAGAAAATCATGTGTATGTCCAAAATTTCTAACAATGTCCAAAATAGTCATGATATTCTATTAGCATGTCCTATTTTCTCTCTAGTTCATGTCAAATCTCAAATTTCTACATTTTATTAAGCTTAGCCTAATTTGCAGAGTTTTAGGATTGGGTGGGTTGTTTTCTTGGGGGGGCGGTGGCGTGGGGCGGGGGGGGGGGGAAGAGAGAGAGAGAGAGAACTATAAGGATAATCAGAGCTCAACCAAACGTATAGGTTTTGAGAGGTGCACTTTATAAGTTTCTTACGATAAATACCTTCAATTCACTTCACTAATTACAAGATGAGATTTTGGAGTACTGACCTGAGCTATTGCGGCGACATGCATGGCCATGCTCCCATAAGCACGAGAGAGGTGCTTTGCTATAGGGGTATCCATTGTCCCGGGCACTGTCTTCCCATCACGTGTGACTTTCATGCGCAAAAAATTCTGAGCAATAGCTATGAAGGATGATGCCTCCCATCCATAGGCACCAATTATAGGAAGATTGGCCGTTACACAACCACCCAAAGGGCTCAAATTCCCATGTTTAATAGCGGCATCAACAGCATCCTCTGCCATGCTAAAAACCAAAATCACAATGAGAATAAGATTCTCTTTTCTAATGGATGACAACACCATCTCAGATTAAAAAGCCATGAACAGTATATTAGTTTATCTCTTTAAGATATTTATTAGTTTCTCTCTTATTTAATTCATAAACCCAACCGACAATATTGGAAGTTTAAAAAATTACACAGAAGATTAAAAAAAGCTGCATACCAATGGCCAAAGAAGTCCATGCATCTATAGAATTCAACAATTGAACATAGTTGTCGGGAGCAGGAATAGATTTGGGAGTCATGGTGGATAGGGAGCAGGGATCATTGCTTACCAGAAGCTCCCTAATTAGGGAGCGCACATATAACTAAGTAGTAATAATTTCTTGTTATAAATTTATAGGTATGTAAAAATAAGATACACTTCAAAAAAATGATAGACGGATTTTGGTGCTCGAGTTTTCTTAGTTATATCATCATCATCCGAGCCTTATTCCAACTAATTGAGGTCAGCTAACAAGTCAACCTTCTCTTTTAGCTATATCTAGAATAAAAATGTACCTCACTCCTTAAAACCCAAAATTTACCTAATGATGCATTCTGTAGGTTCCACAATGCAGCCCACCAAAGGAGAGATTGGGTTCTTAACAACTTTAGAAGAAAGAGTTCCCAAGAAAACAGGGGATGCAAAGCGTTGGGAACGAGTACTGGCTCCTGAACCATGGAACCACATTCCATGACCAGGAGTGCCTCCTTAGATAAGAGATCCCAGAAACTATCCAATGGAATCCTCCCATGTCAGAAGAGGATGCTATCTGCATAGAAACCTCATTCAACCACAATCACAAATAACAGCATATAAGGTAAGAGAACCATATTTTTTGAATCAGGTTGCTATGTGAGTGAGACAAAGAGAGAGGGATGGAGATACCTTTACATATCAAATGGAGAAAATCAGAGCAAAACAATTACCTTCGATAAGTAGTCCATTTCCCACCAGTAATTGTAATCAGACCAGGGCAATCCACACATATAATATGATCTCTGCGAATGCTAGCAGTGTCCTTGGCTGAAGGATCGGTAGCCAATGGACGTATACCACTCCATGCTGAGAGGACATCGGAGTGTCTCACCTAACAAATTTCAAAGAAAATTCTCCAATCAAGCAAAAGAAAAACACAGAACCCAGCATACACATGGCCACGAGCCAATAATAATTACTGGCCAACACAAGAGTGTAACAAGACTGTTGCTGGTTTTGAGCACCCGGCCTTTGGGATGCCTTGACTCACATCTTCTGAGTCCTTTCTGTAACTATCCTAATATAGTAATATAAAGTCACTTTCATCAAAAGAGAATGTAACAAGACCCAAAATTCATGCATAATACATCAGTTTACATGGATCTGGGATTATACAAATAGATTCAAGTTAGGTTCTCATTCAGGAAGGTAATAATATGCAGTTAACTCCAAGTTTTAAAGTGGTGTCCAAAACAAAAAAAAACACATCAAGAAAATACACATAAGTTCCTGCTCTCTTCCTCAATGTCAAAGACCACACGTTCATGTTGTTAATTCTCTTTATATTTCTTAATGCATGGAATCCATCACCATTGTGTGAGACTTTGTTGCCATTGCCCAAAGACCACCACGAACACAATACCTTTCCTCAAATCACAAAACTAAAAGCTTCGTTGTCCACCTTCCCTGAGAACCCTTGGCAGGATTCAATCTGGACCTTCCAACTTCCTAGCAATCAGTCACATACCTTCCTACCTATCCTCTCCTAACATGTTCCATAATCCACCATCCACCTCCCGTCCCTGCTTCCATGAGATTGGATCAAGAAGCTCCCCAATGAACATAGAAATCTTAATTATGACCAATAGGAACAGGTTCTAATTCCTAAATGCCACATGATGAGTAAAACAAAAAGGTCGTGATTACTAGCTTGAAAGCAGCTAAAGAAACTGTAAACTACAAGGGCCTATGGAATGCAAAAAGGTGAATCCTATTTCCAGACAATTGACATGAGATGGAAGATATTGGCTATGGAAGAGTGCCATAACACCTAATACACAGGCATAACCCCGTTAGAAATTTACACATTTTCTAGCATTTGCCAGAAAACCACTGTTCGAGTCCTAAGAGTGGCCACTTTGTGCATAAGCCAAAGGTTAGGACCGTTCCAGCCCACCCCTCCCAGGACCCTGCTTAGGACGGACCAGCATACTCATTTACAATTAAACCAATAGGCTAAAGCAAAGCTCTAAACTGTGTGCGCACCTCTATTTTCAGGTAATCACTAATGGCTTGAAGTATGAAGTCAATCTCCTCTTCATGTGGTTCAGGAAGGTTGGATAGGGGTGAGTGCCTATCTGTAGTTCCAACAAGAGTTTTTCCTTGCCATGGCAGCACAAAAATCACGCGACCATCTTTGGTTTTAGGAACAATTAAGCCCATTCTTTGCGAAGAATAATAATCAGGAAGAACCACATGAGTTCCACTACTAGGACATATCATATCTCTTGCATCATTGTCTGCCATCTTTCTTACAGCATCAGAAAAGGGCCCAGTCGCATTCACAATAACCTTCGTGTGAACATCAAATTCTTTGCCTGTTGAAAAAAAAACACAAAAATGCTAAAGCACAGTCAAAGAATGAGAGAGAACTTTTAGTGCGAAAAGAAAAGCAAATAGAGAAAATTAAAAGCAATGCTTGTCAAGTCCAGATAGGCAGCAAACTAAGCAAGACTGATGCAGAAGATGTTTACAATAGTTAAAATAGCTCCTAAGGAACCAAAATTCACAATAGATGGTAACAAGCATTGTTAGAAAAACTGGTCGATCTAACTGCTAACCACCTGGTTATATCGGAACCAGCCAGTGGCCAGTTTCGGTTATGGGCGGTTTTAGTGATCCACCGGTAGTTTAAAAAAAAATTCAAAAAATATAAATATAAATTCCCAAAAATAAAAAATTTGGTTTATAATGTATTTTTTAATATTCTTTACATTATGGTAAAGATTAAAATTGTTTTTGTAATTAATACTCACTTTAATTCAAAAATCAATTCATTAAAATCTATTTTTTTCATTAATTTTTAACTTCATTTGAATGTGTTTTATTTTAATCATTCTTTATATGTTTTTCATATTTTAGTAGTTTTTTTTTTTGTATCTTTTTATTTTTCAACACTTTTTTGACCGCCCGGGATTTGTCCGGTTAGAACGGTTGAATCGGCCAATTTACCGGTTAGGCCGGTTAAACCGCTTCCGGGCCCATGTCCGGTTAACCCTTCCAGTTCGATTTTTGAATACCGGAAACAGGCCGACAGTGCCATAAACTTGTCAAATATTACTTAAGCCAATAAATTTATTTTTTCTTTTTCTTGATGGTGACGGTGCCATAAAAGTGTCAAATAATAGGTAAGCAAATAATTTTTTTTTTCTATTAATACAAGAGAAAATAATTCAATGTCAAAATACACAAGAATGGCCCATAAGTATCTGAAAAACAAAATCACATAGCACTGCAACTCCAATGTCACTTATTTGATGCAATTACCAAGAAGGAAAATCATAAGGTTTCAAAAAAGGCAAAGAGGATTTTCATATTTAAAATGTTATTCAATGCGGGTTTTCCCCTCCAGTCCCAAAAGAACTTCACTGGCTGTGTCACCAGTTGTGTCCAACACCCAATTGTTTGCTAACTACTATAATGACAGAAATTTCACCAGTCAAAATCGCCATATAATACAGAACTCGCCAAAGCTACCCATCGAAAAGACTTCAAACGCAAACCTCACAATGCTGAAAAAAAATCTCCCGCTCTCTTTTTCTGTCTCAATGCTCACTTCCCTAACCTCTCTTTAAAATATCATTGATTTATTATCTAAATATAATGATAAAGTTCCCAGAAAAACATATCCAATCACTCTGTAAAAATCTCTTTTATGTTTTGTCCTAGTTCTCATTTAAGAAAATAATTCATGGACAAGAAACAGGAGGGGGTGAAAACAAAATGAAAATAAGTTGCCAAAAAAGTCATGTTAATTGTCCTTAAATTTTTATTTTATGTATTATCCCAATCCTGAAGTAAAAACAATATTTTCTTATGGAGAAGATATAGATGAGAGCAAAAAAATAAGAAATATTAGATACTCAGAAACGGCTTTTATATTCTGGCTATTCTTACCAATAATACGAACTTATATAAGAGCATTTTGCTTATTGAAGAAACCATAGTTAGAAAAACTGGGTGATCTAACCGCTAACCGCCTGGTTAGATCGGAACCGGCCAGTGGCCGGTTCCGGTTTTGGTGATCTACCGGTATTTAAAAAAAAAAATCAAAAATAAAAAATTTGATTTATAATGTAGTTTTTAATATTCTTTAAATTATGGTAATGATTAAAAATTGTTTTTTTCATTAATACTAACTTTAATTCAAAATTAATTCGTTAAAATCTATTTTTTTCATTAATTTTCAACTTCATTTGAATGTGTTTGGTTTTAATCATTCTTAATATGTTTTTCATATTTTAGTAAACTTTTTTTTTGTATCTTTTTTATTTTTCAACACTTTTTTGATCGCTCGGGACTTGCCCGGTTAAAACGGTTGAAACGGCCAATTTACCGATTAGGCCAGTTAAACCACTTCCGGGCTCCTGTCCGGTTAACCGTTCCGGTTCGATTTTGCAAACACTGGAAGAAACAACATAAGAAAGCTAAAAAAAATATCTACAAAGAGGCATAAAAAAATTAGGCAGCTACAAAAAAACATTAATGACTTAAAAATAAAAGTTAATAATACGTTTTTCAATTAAATTTAATATTCTGAAATTTATTCCCGAATAGTTGCTATAAGGCTCGGATGATGATAGTGATGATTTGTTTTATCTATTTTCTCTCAGCGGGAGCAGCATGCAACATGAGTGGTTTAGTTATTAACTAAACCATATAAATTGTACCTGTCAAGTTATCTCTTACACATGCACCTATAACACAGCCCTGCTCATCTTTATGCAAGGATATTACTTCAGCATGGTTCAACACAGCTGCACCTGCTAATGCAGCAGTGCAAGCCACCCCGATGTTAAGACGAGAGTCATCCATCTGCCCATCGTAATAAACAACTGCACCTCGCAAGTTTCGACCATGAGATTCTCTGGAAAGCATTGGGAAGACAGCAACGGCTGCTTTCACTGAGTAATACCTTGACAAGTGCAAGATGCGAGGGCCTGCAACTAAATCATACATCTTCAAACCTAGCCAGTAATATGCCACTTCGAACCAACTAAAGCATGGTGTCATGGTTGGCAGAGGGTGGCATATATGTGGCGCATTTTGAATAACCCGCTTACGCTCCTCGAGTGCATGGAAAACCAATTTGAGCTGACCATAGTCGAGATTGAATACAGCCTTTTCTAGATAACGCACGCCTGCATGGACATCACAGAGAAGACCAGATTCCATAAACTAACTAATATACACAATCACGCATGCATAATTTCTTGTCCAAACACCATGTGCTTAAGAACACAATCACTTTATAAACAGGATCAAATCCCAAATGGTTATAACTGAAATATTTCTACTCATCTAAAACCCCTGCATGGAGCTCTAACTCAAAAATCATGTTTCAAGTCTAAACTGTCTGGAAAAGGAAAAAACAATAGAAGAAAAGGTTGTATTTCAAGTTCAGTTTCCCATACGCTTACCACCCTCAAAATAGAAAATGGTCACCAAATTTCTTAGTATAACAATAGTACATTGAGACTGAAGTTGCAAGGCGACAGAGGCATCTACAAAATTGAAATGAGAACTAATTTCAAACATGCTCTGAACTTAAAAGAATAACAATAACCACAAGCTAACTGATCTATGAAAACTAAGCTGTGCGTAAATCCCATTAGAAATAAATAGATATATCCTATGCATATGCGAGTCTTAGCATCATCACAATCACATAGACCATGCAGCAATCCATAGCTTGACTAATCAAAATCTAAATAATGAAACATAAAAGTGTCATTCATTTCAACGTCATCAAATTCAGCTAAATAAAGTCAAACTTAATTATCCTCAAAGAATAATTTAGAAGAACCTACAAACCGATTGAAGAAAACCCATATTTCATATATTAACTGAAAAGATAAAAATTGTTTACAGGCATACGCAAACGAGCAAGCTCAATCAAATAATTGACAATGAAAAAAATTAGAGAATCCCTAAAAAACCCAGACAAGAAAATCCCTATTCCCAATAATTTTTCCCTGATATCGCGTTATTATATTATGTTGTTAAACTCCTGATAATTTCCTCCTTTTTGTTTTCATCTCTCTATCGTGGAGAAGCCAACCAGGAACCCCATCACAGCTCTTGCACCTATTAACAGCTCCACCAACCCTTCTTCCATACCCTTATCAAAAATCTCTCAACTTATATCTCTGAAACTCAATCGCCACAATTACCTCCTAAGGAGGGCTGAGTTTCCGCTGACCCTTCATGGCCATGATCTCTTTAACTATATCGATTGGTCATGTCAATGTTGTCTGAAATATCTCACCGGAGATGACAATAAGGTCTCAGCTGTGATCAACCCGGAGTATGCCTAATGGCAGAAGCAAAACCCCCTTCTCTTAAGCTAGCCTATATCATCTCCCACTAAGAGTGTCTGTCATAATCTCCCTCACTTTGGATTAATATTGAAATATTGATTTCCTCCCATTCTTGAGCATGTATAATGCAGCTCCGCTTCCAGAAGCAGACAGACATTAAAGAAAGGCACGCTCTCCATCACTGACTACCTTCAGATGGCCAAAAACATCATTGACAATCTTGCTGACATTGCCCAGCCCATACCAGTTCCCTATTTCAAACTATATATACTCAATTACCTTGGATCAAAATAAGAAGTTTATGTTAATTCTGTGATAACCCAGTTAGGACCTTCCAATCTTGATGATCTACAATCTTGATGATCTACACGGACTACTTTTCAATCAAGAGTTGCATTTGAAACAACACAATCTTGCTTCTCTCCTCGATGGATCGACCACATCTACCAACCCCTCCACTCGCAACTGGAATCAGCCACGTCTCCAGCAATCATGGCCATGGTGCTTTCGTGGTCCCCACACAAATAGTTGGTCCAAACAACCATTAGGTCCCTATTTCTATTTGACTGGTCTGCCAGGTATGCAACCACATTGATAATACAACATTGACCTGCCCATCATTGCTTTGACCATGCATGCTAGGGTGATGCACCACTGCAACAACTGGTTGTCTTGCATATCACTTGGTAGCTGATAGACCTGATGGGCGGTTATCCTGTAACCAATTGGTTATAGGGCTTTAAGTTTCCACTCGTCACGTGTCTACTACTTTGCCACTCACCTGTTCCTCAAAGAGCAAGAAGTGCCGAAGAGGGGCAAATGTAGACACCACCACTGAAATTGGTGTTATTTCTGAGTTCTTGAACCCCAAAAGCACACTAGCCAAGTGAATCATAGGATATATCGAAGCACAGTCTACACTAGAACCATAGTTTCGCCTTAGAATATTCCCCAAATTTTCCATAGAACCCATTTTAGGAGATTGGCCCCCAAAATAGGCAGGTCCTAAGTGAGAAAAACGAAAATATTACAAATTACTGAGGTTAAAACTGAAATAGGGCTGAATTAACAGAAAACCTCACAAAATTAGCAACCCCGAAAAAGTTTGCATGTGTCTAGCTCACGAACGGCTCATCGATGCATAGTGTCAATCTAGGCCTAGTGACATACACTGCATTGATGGGCCACATATGGTCCAGATCGACTAGGGTGCTTAGGTTGCTTATTTTGAAACTTTTTTGCTATAAAAGGACCATTTTGGGTTGTCAGAAGGGACTTTTGGGAGACGAATCCCTAATCCTAATTTCCAACCTCTGCCAAACCCTAATCCCTAGACTTAGGCCTTCAAACCCTAGATCCAGACTTCAGTTCCAGCAGCCATTAAACCCTAATCTCTAAAAATACAGCAAATCCTAGGAGAAGAACATCCCTCCTAGCCCAAAGTCCCAAAAGCAAATTCCAAGGCAAAACTTCCCTAGAGTTTAAGATAATTCTAGATCAGCAAAGCACGAAGGTCAGGGAGCAAAACTCAGCATCTTTCGTCTGATCTGGGCCACAACTTCAGGTGCCAGGCCTACATGCCCGGCTTCTCAAGTACTCTATTATTTTACTTTATTTCTTTTATTTTTCTTCTTGTTGTTTGTCCATCTATTTCTAAGGTCTTTTCAAAAATCGTTTCTCTTGTTTTCTTTCTTGTTTTTACGCAAATCCAGGCCAGCACTGCCAACAATTTCAGAAGAACAGATCTTTCAGGGTTGATTCTCCATAAGTTGTAATACGACGGTACCCCTTTCTTTAATGATATCGAACAATTTACTTTAGACACAAATGGAGATGGGATAGACTTTTGAGTAGTCTATATAACCTCATATTTCACGTATAAACACCTCCCCAAAACCATGGGCCATGATTGGGAATGATACATGCCACAACTGCATCCTCCTCATCTTTACCGTTACCGCCAACTGATACTAGTACATCCGTTCAAACAGTGGCAGCATGGACGAAACACTGGCCCTCGCCTAGGGCCTCGGGCTAGGCAGGTGCCTAGGATAGGGAATCTAGGTACCAACCGAGGCATGCACCTAGGTGGCCAAACAGCTGCCTAGGAAGGCGGCTAGCACCTTGGCCCAACTTGGCCCCTAGCACCTTGTCCAAGGTGATGCTAGAGCCACTTGGCCTCGGCATGTTGTTACTCGTAGTTGTTGCTTCATCAGGCATTTGGAAGGCCACTATTTCATCGATCATTTGGAGGGCATCCTTTTCCTATAGCGAGCACTTGGAGGGCATCTCTCTCTCTCTC